AGTGCAAAGAAAACCAATTTATTTATAAGATGACTCTGGATAGGAGAGATAGTACAGCAGGTGGGATGCTTGCCTAGCCTGCAGCCAACCTTGGTCCAGTCCCCCATACCCCCAGAAGTGATCCCTGAGCTCAGAGCCAGGAGTAAGTCCTGAACACCTCCAGCCATGCCCTTCTCCCCCTAAATCCCAGCAAAAATTATTCCAGCTGTTCCAATGGCTCTATTATTACTATAGGTGACGTTTGGTTGTACTCCTGGCTTATTCCTGACTCTGTGCTCAGGAATCTTTCTTGGTGGGGCCCAGAGTACCATATGAGGTGGCAGGAATGAAACCCAGGTCGGCCACATGCAAGGCAAGTGCCCTCCCTGCTGTATTATCTGTTCAGCCGCTACTCTGTCCTCATATTATTTACCTCAATCTTTACTCTTATAAAAACTGAAATTTAGATCAACAAAATGCTTTTGCTACAATCAATACAACACTGTCAGCAGAACCACACTCACAAAAAAAAAAAGTACTGGAGCTTTAGTAGTATTAGTAATATACTAGTCATTTGCTCAAAAGAACTTTCTGACTTCTCTGCAGAAATGCCTTAACTCCAAGGAGAGTATGTCCACTTCAAGTAAATAATTATTGATTAACTTCTGTGTTGATAAAATGTTAGCTGTAACCCACCAAAATTACTTAAGTCACAACTAGGCTTTCTCCCATCTCCTGAACTCAAATAAAATTTATTTGGTGGCTTTTTGGTAACACCTCAGGGGCTACTGTGTCTCTGCACTCAGGAATTACTCCTGGCCATGCTCGGGGATGCTGGGGATCAAACCTATGGGATGCTGGGGATCAAACCCGGGTCTGCTGAGTGCAAGGCAAAAGACCTACACGTTGTACTATCGCTCCGGCCCTGGGCCCTATAGCATGCTTCCTTTAAAAAAAATTTTTTTTTTGTTTTGGTGACCCCTAGAGGTTCTCAGGGCTTACTCCTAGCTCTGTGACTTGATTAAAAAAAAACCAAGCAGGGTTTGCTACTCAGGAGGGCTTTCCAAGTCATAAAACTTGGACTTATACTATGGAAAATTCTACTTCAGTACAATTAGAAATGCAGTTCAAGTTTTGACTCATCCTTCTGCTTTACAGAAGCTAACAAACCAGTATAAAGTCTTTATTCAACTTTTCAAGGACAATCACAGAGCATGATTTTATTTCCTCTTGGCAAGTGATTGATCATATATGGTCAACACATCCTGTTGTATCTTTATAGATCACTGGCCAGGTGAAGCTATCTGACTATAAAATAGACCCAGATGGACTTTGGGATATAAAAGTACAAGAGAAGAGAAAATGAACAACAAATTATTTTTTGGCTTTTGGGCATTTCCTGGCAATCTTCTGGGCTGACTGCTGGTTCTACAACCAGGGATCACTCTGAGTGGGCTCCGCAGACCATCAGGGATTAAACCAGGGCTCGACATGTGCAAGGCCAGTGCACTGCCTGCCGTACTGTTGCTCTGGACCAATCACAACAAATCATCTTATAATGAAAATTTTAATAAATATATTTGACCTAAACTCAATAATCAAAAAGGTAGAAAAGTGACAGGATCAATCACAAGATGAAATTGAATCTTTGGCTAACTTCAGAAAAGCAGGGAATATTGAAAGAGTACGTGCATCACATGTGGTACCCTAAACTAAACCTTGTCAGAACTAATCCCTAAGCACAGAGTCAGCAGGAAACCCTGAGCACTCAAATGTGGTCCCTCAAACATAAAAAAACTAAAAAACTTCTTGAGACCCTCTTGACTTCCAATGACAAAGATTAAAAGTAAAAGTAAAAAACCAAACAATATAGGCTAATGGTAAACTAAAATGGTAAATTTTCATCAGATAAAAAAAGGACTTCAAGGGGCTGGAGCAATAGCACAGTGGGTAGGGCGTTTGCCTTGCACGCGGCTGACCCAGGTTCGATTCCCAGCATCTCATATGGTTCCCCGAGGACTGCCAGGAGTGGTTCCTGAGTGCATGAACCAGGAGTAACCCCTGTGCGTTGCCGGGTGTGACCCAAGAAAAAAAAAGGACTTTAAGAGGTGGGAGAAGTGATACGGGAATTTAAGCACTTGCCTTGTATTCGGTTAACCTTAGTTTGATTCCCTGTACCACACATCCCAAGCAATACCAGGAGTAACCCCTGAGCACTGAGTCAGGAGTGATCCCTGAGCAAAGCATGGTGTGGCCTAAGCCCCCTCACCCCTTCAAGCTAAAAACTGTATTGATAATAAACATCAAATATTTAAAAGAAAAAACATAAAATACCTATTAACTGCCCTGAAGAGAGACTTTGACAGCAGTACTGTAGAAACAGGAGACTTGGATGCCCACTGTCACCTGTGGCCAGTTCAAGAACGGGGCTCAGACTGGTTGAACTTCACAAGAAGAAAACATCCAACTCCATCAAAAAATGGGGTGATAAAATGAACAGAAACTTTCTCAAAGAAGAAATGCGAATAGCAAAAAGACACATGAGAAAATGTTCTACATCACTAATTATCAGGGATGCAGATCAAAACAACAATGAGATATCATCTCACACCACAGAGACTGGCCCACATCCAAAAGAACAAAAGCAACAAGAGTTGGTGCAGAGGTGGTGAGAAAAAGACTCTCCTTCACTGCTGGTGGGAATACTGACTGGTTCAACCCTTTTGGAAATGAATATGGACGATTCTCAAAAAATTAGAAATTGAGCTCCCATTTGACCCAGCAATACGACTCCTGGGAATATATCCCGGAGAGGCAAAATGTACAGTCGAAATGACATCTGCACTTCTATGTTCATTGTTGCACTGTTCACAGTAGCCAAATCCAGAAAAAAACCCGAGTGCCCGAGAACAGATGACTGGTTAAAGAAACTTTGGTACATCTACGCAATGGAGTACTGTGCAGCTTTTAGAAAAGAAAAAATCATGAAATATACATAAAAGTGGTACTACATGGAAAGTATCATGCTAAGTGAAATGAGTCAGAAAGAGAGGGACAGACTATGAAGTCTTTCTATAAAGACTGCATTCATCTGGGGAACATAAAGTAACAAAATAGGAGACTAACACCCAAGAACAGCCGAGATAAGTACCAGGAGATTCACTCCATGGCCTGGAGAACAGCCACACATGCTAGGGAAAAAGGAAGCTCAGATAGCGAAGGGAGCACCAGGTAAAGGGTGCTGGGAGGATCCTCCCAGGATGGGACATACATGCTAAAAGTAGACTATAGACCAAACATGACTGTCATTCAATGCCTCTTTCATAAACCACAGCACCCAAAAGGAGAGAGAAAACAAATAGGAATGCTCTGCCACAGGGGTGAGGTGGGAGGGGGGGATGGGAGTAGGAGGGATACTGAGATCATTGGTGGTAGAGAATGGGCACTGGTGGAGGGATGGGTACTCAATCATTGTGTAACTGAAACCCAAGCACAAAAATTTGTAAGTCTACAACTGTATCTCATGGTTTTTCACTAATAAAAATTGTCTATGTCACTGTCACAGTCCTCCCATTGTTCATCAATTTTCTCCAGTGGGCCCAGTAATGTCTCCATTGTGAGACTTTGTTGTTACTATGTTTCACATATTGAATACTTCACAGGTAGCTTGCCACACTGGCGAGATGCTCTCGGTAGCTTGCTGGGCTCTCGGAGAGGGCTGGAGGAATCGAACTCAGGTCAGCCATGTTGGCTGCATGCAAGGTAAACGCCCTACCTGTTGTGGGCTGGAGCGATAGCACAGCGGTAGGGCGTCTGCCTTGCACGTGGCCGGCCCGACCAAGCCGGGTTCGATTCCTCCGCCCCGGTTGGAGAGCCTGGCAAGCTACGAGAGAATCTTGGCTGCTTGGCAAAGCCTGGCAAGCTACCCGCGGCGTATTCGATATGCCAAACACTGTAACAACAAGTCTCACAATGGAGACGTTTACTGTAAAAAAAATTAAAGAAAAAAAATAATAAAAATGGGGCTCAGGCCAGCGGTAAGCCATGCTGTGGCAAACTGCACGAGAAGCCGACCAAACAGGCCCGACTAATCAACCCTGACAGGCCTCTTCACACCCAAAAGCCAAAGGCACATTTTTTTAAAGTGCACATAGAAAAAAGAACCATCATTAAAACTGAACTCCTCAAATGGAAGACAGTACAATAGGAAGGGCACTTACATGGCATGCAGCTGACCTGGTTTTGAGTCCACACCCAGTGAAGCACTGCCACCAAGCACTGCCAGCAATAGCCCTGGGCAACACTGGATGTGGCCTCCCACCGCCAAAAAAGATTGAAAACAGCACTACCATATCATAATCCAGCAATTTACTCCCAGGCATCTCAAGAACAAGAAAATGCTAACTTGGAAAGCCACATGCATCCAATGTTTACTGCAGCTCTATTCACAGCCGAGACCTGGCACCACATGGAGTCCCCGAGCTCGGCCGGGAGTGGTCCCAAAACAAAAAAAAATGATATAGAATAAACAAAAATCTAATGTTTGAATTCTTCATGAAATCATTCATGAAAAAGATTTTAAAATATTTCACCTTATATTTTAAAAAATAATACAAACATCTGACTTCATTTAAACTTACATGATTATTCCGGGCTGAGCATGGGTCATGGGAAGAGGAGGTGCATCATGTACCTAGGGCCTGGGCTAGATCCATGGCACCAAAAACACAAAAACAAAAACAAAACACACCAAACTCCAAAACATAACTGAAAAGAAATGTTGTATATATATATAAAAAAATACATATTGTTTTTTAAAAGGCCCCTCAATTTCATTTATATCTGATTTTAAGCTAGTCTAGCAAATAAAGAAAAATTTAAAAATCATACATGCAATAGCGTTTGACATACGATTGTGAATATTCTTTATTTCTAAGTAAAAAATGAACTATAACCAAAACAAAATGTTTTGCCTCTAAAATACTATTTTAAGCTTACTTAAGGAAGAAAAAATCACTAAAATAAGGAACATTTTTCATTATTTAACATTTTTAATTTTTTATAAAGATTTTCATTAGACTTCACAGTTACTAAGCAGTTTTTTAACTCAGACTTCATGATCAAAGGACTTCATGATCCTTTTGACTTGGTGCTTTTAAATGGAGTCATTTATCTTCAAAATATGACAAATTTCAGGATCCATTAAAAATCTTTTTATTCAAATTATGTTTTCCAAAAGAGAGGGTTCTGTGCTAGCCGCCTCTGAAAGTTTTCGTACCTATGGAAGAAAAAATACATTTATAAGAAAACTAAAATAGAATCATATAATCTTCCAAATGATTTAGCAAAGAGTAAACATATCTCATTTCCAAAAAGCTAAGATAAAGGGTCAGAGAGAGTTCAACAGGCTAAAGTGCATGCTTGGATAAAGGTGCATCCCTACATTAGGCCAGGAGCAGCCCCCAGCACCGACATTACCAGGTGTGACTCAAAAACAAAGGGAAACAAAACGGAAAAAGAGCTAAGAGAAAAACTTAAAGCCCAAAGTGGAAGTTTAATTATTTTTTATATAGACAGCAAGCAAGCCGAGAGAGAGCTCGAACGAGCAGTGCATGCTCCGCACACAAAAGGCTGCGTTAGATTATCAGCACTACGGGTTTCCTGAGCACCAGAGTAAGCCTGCGCAGAGGGCTGGTGCCCCACTCCCAGATGCTGCCGGCTAAACACGGCCAAACTGCTAGCCCTCTCAAACACACTGGCTGACGGGCTAGACTCATTCAAGGGCTGAGTGTAGGCTTTGCATATAGCATGCATACAGCATGCAAGAGGTCCTGGGTGAATGCTGGGCACTTGTGCTTGAATATCTCCACGAGTAAATCCTGAGCACTGTGCCAGGAGCAGCCCTTGAGTTCTGCCAGATATGATCCTAAAACAAGCAAACAAAAATCCCAGGGCTGGAGTTACAACATGGTGGGTAGAGTGCTTGCCTTGCATGCAGCTGACCGGGTTCAATCCCTGGCATCCCACATGGTCTCCTGAGCCCACCAGGAGTGATCCTAAGTGCAGAGCCAGGATGAGTTCTGAGCACTGCTGGGTGTGACCCTAAAGCCAAAAACCCCAAACATACAAAAAACCTCAAACCAATCAAAACAAAAAGCGCCCCAAAAGACTGGCTTGGATCAGAAAGCATAAACCTTATACAATTTCATTCTCTGTCTTCTGTAGAACTGACCACTAGAATCCCTAGATCAAACCTGTAATGGCCATGTGCAAGGCAAGCGCCCTGCCCCACTGTACTATCTCTTAGGCCCTATAAATGTATTTTTAAAGAAGTTTTGATTGGTAATTCAAGCCTCATATATTAAAATACTTTTTAAAATACAATCCCCAATTGCAGGTTTTTTCTGCGGGGGAGGCATGGGTGGCAGGTAGTTTGCTGGGCCATACTTGGTAGTGTCCAGGATTTACTCCTGTCTCTGTGCTCAGGGATCATTCCTGGTGGGGCTCAGGGATCTAACTGAAGTTGGCTACCACAAGGCAAATGTCTTAACCTCTGTATTATTTCTTCTTTGTACTTTATATTTTTTTAGTGAAGTAAAATAGCTTTATTTAAAGAAATCTTCATGTAGTCATGTGAAGGGAGAGAGAGAGAGAGAGATGTGTTCCTGAGAGAGCACAGGAGGGACATATACCACAAGGTGACATATGGGCGAATCTCCAGGGTGGAAATAGTATATTTTTAAATAATAAAATAAATTAAAATAGTATATTTTCCTGTCTTTATTAATTAATAATGGCAGAATATTCACACATTTAAAAAATAACATGGTAGGGGGTATGGTGCCGCCAGCAGGTCAATCTGTACCTGTGAGGCAAATGCATCAGCCACCTGATTGCGCCTTCAGACTTCCAGATACCCCAAAAATGCTGCTGTGCTTTGGCCAGACCCCAAAAACTTGGGGCAAAGTTTACCAAGAAATTAAACGGCCAAAAGTTAGGTATGTGGGAGACACACCCACAAACCACCTCTGGCTCAGCTGTATAACTGGAGGCATGGCCTCTCTGGTTTCTGATCGAACTGCTTAACGGCCATGATCCCAGAGACTCAGGAACAAATCTCGGAACCCAGCAGGTTTTGGCAGAAATCCCTACAGATTTAAGTGTTAAAATTTAGGAATTTCAAAACCGCACAGCCACTACTGCAGTCGCACGACATCATATGTTATTCATAACCAGCAATAGAAAACAAATTGTCTACAGTTGCCTTTTCAGCAGATCTGAGTGTTGGGGTAAAATCCCAAATAATAATGGTGGGTCTGGTGTCAAAATATTGAATGTAATCAAAGTAGAGAGAGAGTGTAATGTGGAAATCATCTGCCCCACAGGTAGGGGGAAGGTGTGGGATAGGGGTATACTGGGGCTTAAAGGGGTGGAGAATGGGCACCAGTGAAGGTACAGGTGTTTCATTGTATGACCGAGACTTAAACCCGAAAACTTTGTAACTGCTTTCACGGTGATTCAATAAACATCACTGTCACTGTCCTCCTGTTGTTCATCAATTTGCTCGAGCGGGCCCAGTAACACTGTGAGACTTGTTACTGTGTTTGGCATATCAAATACGTCACGGGTAGCTTGCCAGGCTTTGCCGTATGGGCGAGATACTATCGGTAGTTTGCTGGGCTCTCTGAGAGAGGCAGAGGAATTGAATTCAGGTTGGCCACGTTGGCTGCGTGCAAGGCAAATGCCCTACCTGCTGTGCTATCGCTCCAGCCCAATTCAATAAATAAAATTATAAAAAATGAAAAAAAAAGAGAAGTGGAGTTCATGCCCAATTCAATCAGCTAATCAGTGGCTGGATAAATAGCAGTACTCCTACATAAAAAAATAAATAAATAAATAACAGGGAAATTAGGGTAAGAAACATTTCTGATCTGAATTCTATAAAGCAATTTTTGTTTTTGTTTCTGGATCACACCCAGCAATGCTCAGGGGTTCCTCCTGGCTCTACACTCAGGAATCAATCCTGACAATGCTTAAGGGACCATACGTGATACTGGGGATCAAACCTGATTCAGCTGCATGGTGGCCAAGCTCCCTACACACTATACTGTCTCTCTCACCATATAGTAAATACTTCTAAATATCATGTATTAATGTATGTTAATGTCCACAATGAAAGAATGCTTTGAAATGTTAAAAGCTAAATATCCACATGGTTATTAGAAAGATTGATACTAGAGATACAAAGTGTTCCTTACCATTTCAGAACAACATTTGCTGGAATGAACATTTCAGATGGATTTGGTGTCATCTGGGCCTGAGAAATAGCAAATGATGAAGCAAAATTGTAGAAGTTGTCCAACATCTTTTGTGTGAACTGTAAAATAATTTTTGTGCACAGATTAATGGATAAATCTAAACATTCCATTTAGACATTAATATCTTGAATTTTCAGCTATTTTTTGTGTTTATGTATTTTTGGGACACACTCGTTTGTGCTCAAGGCTTGCTTCTGGCTCTGCACTGAGGAATTGCTTCTGGTGGGGCCTGGGGACATACAGGGTACCAGATATAGAACCTAGGACGCAGTGTGGCAGGAAAGTGCCTTCTCCCCTATATGATCTCTCTGGCCCCAGCATCTTAAATTTTTTTAACTGTTCCTTCATTAGCTTATTTTAAAACCCTCCTCAGTGGGGAATGGAGAGAGTACAATGGTAGGGCGCTTGCCAGTACATGCTCAGCCCAGTTTGCTCACTGGCATCCCATACAGTCTTCCAAGCTCTGCCAGGAGTAACCCAAGCATCACCAGGTATGATCCCAAAACCAAAAAACCAACCAAACAAAACATAGTGTTAAGACTTTGTAATGTTAGATGTTAAAGGAAATCATAAAATAATACCACTGCACAAAAATCACAAAAATTCCTTGACAATTTTCATTATATCTCCAAGGACTTTCTATAATTTTCAAATATTTTAATTTCCAAACATTTAATTAGGGAGGGGGGAAAAAAGTTGATCTTCCTTTTTTTTTTTGGTGGGGGGGAGGTCACATCCAGCAGTGCTCAAGACTTACTCCTGGCTCTGTGATCAGGGATCACTCTTGGGGGTGCTGGGGCTCAACTCTGGGACAGCTGTATCCAAGGCAACAGCCCAACCCAGTGTACTATCTGTTGGGCCCAAGAAAGATGTTTCTGCTTCCAAGTCCTCTCCCTCAGGCAGGGGTGTCGTGGGTCACTGGTAGGACACTTCCTGCAGTGTCCTCTCAAATCTCCTTCACAGTTTGGGTATTTTTCTGCTTTATTGTTTTTTTGGATCACACCCGGTGATGCTCAGGGGTTACTCTTGGCTCTGCGCTCAGACACCACTCCTGGCAATGCTCAGGGGACCATAGTGGAGGCTGGTGATCAAACCCAGGTCCTCCATGTGCAAGGCAAGTGCCTGGCCTGCTAGACTATTGCTCTGGCCCCAAGACCCACTCATCTCTTCTGCATCCACAAGGCCCCTTTCCTCATACACTTCCTCAACTTCCCCATTTAAAAACTTCCCAGAAATTTCTTTCTTATCAGAAAGACAAAATCTTAAGTATATAAAGAAGCATTTAGTTCTAGTATTTTTCTTTTGAGGGGTTGGGGGGGGGGGACAATCAACTGCTAAAGATAATACTACCTATCATTCACTCTTGAGTGAATAATCTACCCAGCATAACTCTTCAGAAATATAAAAATCAGCTAGAAGGCTCCTGTTGTGTCCTTTTAACGTAAGAGGAAATATATTTTTTTTTGTTGTGTGTATGGTTTGCATGGGGGCGGGTGCTCAGGGCTGCTCCTAATTGTGTGAATGGGAGAGTCAATCCTGGCGGTGCTTAGGGTACCATATGTGGAACCAGGGGTCAGGCCCAGGCCTCCCGCAGGGAAAGCATATGTTCCAGCTTACTGAGCTACTTCTCTGGTTCATGAGGAGTATCTTACTAGAGGTTCTATTTTTGAATTTTTTGGTATTTGGGTCACACTCAGTGGTACTCAGGGTTACTTCTGGCTCAGTGCATGAGGCTCAATCCAGCACTGCTCAGGAGATCATGTGGTACTAGGGACTGTACCTGGGGTCTCTGCAAGCAAAGCATGGAATTCAGCCTACTGTGCAGGCTCCCTGGCCCTAGCTTTCGTTAAGTAATTTAATTAATTTTGTTAAGTGATTTAATCCAAATGACAGATTATTAAGGTAACTGAACTAGTAGCAGAAGTCAACAAATTCATGAACTAAAATATCAATATATTGGGGGGATCAATAGCTACCCTCAATAAGTTAACTTTAATATGATTCAAGTCAAAATGCAAATCAAGGGCAGGGAGAAAACTCAAGGAGTAATTCAAATGCACCCCTATGTTCAAAGATGCCAACTCATAAGAGTTAAGAAGTGGAAAGAATCTAAATACCCATCTATAAGAAAAGACAGACAAGTTATGCATATAGATACTCTATGAAATACTAGTCAGCTGTTTGAAAGGTTGAGGCTGAGGATGTGGCTCAGTGGTAGAACACAAAGCTGAGCAGGCGTGAGGCCCTGGGTTTTATCCTCAACACTGTAATAAAGAAGTAATTAAAAAAAAAAAGTAACGATAGTGGCCAAAAAGACAGTACAGTGGGTCAGACATCTCCCTCAAACCTGGCAAACCTGGGTTCAATCCTCTGCCCCACATATGGTTCCCCGAGCACTGCTAGGAGTAATCCCTGAGCACAAAGCCAGAAGGAGGTGCTGAACTCTGCTGGGTATGCCCTTCACCCCCCAAAATAAATGAAATAACATAAATGAATGGGGCCTGGTGTTTTGCAATGACATTTATAAAACTTGGGGTGATCAAGCTAAAGCGAAGTAAGCCAGAAACTTGGTAGTTTGGCAAACCACTAAATGGTTTCTCTCAGATATGAAAAACAACCAAAGCAAACAAACTAACAAATCATAACAAAATAACTCACGTGGATAAAAAAGAAAACAGCTACTTGATAAGAGGGAAGCAGGCTGGGAGCAGTGAGTAGAGGATGCAACCTGGGGTGGGTATGATAAGGCTTGCAGTGGTTTGTCTCTGAAATTTACACTGTATCGTGAACCAATGGTGAGTCAACAAATTATAATTTAAAAAAATTTTAGGAGCCAGAGCAATAGTACAGCTGGCCTCTGAACTAGCTGTATCTCTACCTAGATCAGAAATTCCAAATTTTATTAAGAACTGCTTCCTTTTCAGGAAAAACTAAAAAAGTCCTAAAACTAAGAGAGAAGCTACTGCTTCTCTGATCATTTCAGTACCACTGGGGTTGGGTTTGGGGATACATATGCTGGGCTCGATTATTCTCCCTGTCCAGACTTCGCCACACAGAGACTATGACAAAGAAATGGAATCATCACCCTGGCTAAGAAACTGCGTGCTGAAAGCAGGAAAGGAACAAACATGATAACCTCCCAGTACCTGCGCTGCAAATCCTAATGCCCCAAAGGGGAGAGAGAGAGTGAGAGAAGGAAAGTGCCTGCTATGGAGAAAGGTTGGGGGGGGGGGGGGGAGGAGAGGAGGCGGCGGGAGGGAAACTGCGGACAGGTGCTGGGAAATGGACACTGGAACAATGTATGACTGAAACCCGATCATGAACAGCCTTTTAATTGTGTATCTCATGGTAGTTTAATTAAAAAAAGTCAATCCTAGAGAATTCCATAAAAACAAGACCTGTGTGCACAGTGCCTAGCACACTAACTATGAAAGAAGAAAAGTCGATATTCAAAACCAGCTAAGGGGCCAGAGAGATAGGACAGCGGGGAGGGCCTTACATGCTGCCGACTCATGTTCAATCACCCACATCCAGATAATGGTCCCCTGAGCACTTCCAGGAGTGATTCCTGAGCACAGAGTCAGGAATAACCCCTGAGTATAGCTGGGTGTGGCCCCCAAAACAACACAAACAAAATCTAAACCATTTTAAACAATTGTTTTGAGGGCCAGAGAGTTGGTACAATTGGTAAGGCACTTACTCGTCTTGCCTGTAGTTTAATCCACAGCACCCTTATGGTTCCCAGAGCACCTCCAGGAGTGAACCCTGAGTACAAAGCCAGGAGTAAACCCTGAACACCACTGGGTGTAGCCCCCAAACACTGTCACTACACTGCCACTGCTCTCCCGTTGTTCATCGATTTTCTCGAGTGGCCCAGTAACGTCTCCATTGTGAGACTTTGTTGTTACTGTGTTTGGAATATTGAATACATCACGGACAGCTTGCCAGGCTTTGCCGTGCGGGTGAGAGTACTTGCCGGGCCCTCCGAGGGGGGGCGGAGAAACTTGGGTTGGCCATTTTGGCTGCGTGCAAGGCAAATGCCCTACCCACTTTTCTATTGCTCCAGCTCAGCCCCCAAACAAACAAACAAAAATAAGTTAATTTTAAACTTTTCTCTTTTGTTATTTTGGGGCCACACCAGGCGATGCTTAGGGGTTACTGCTGGCACTCAAGAATTACCCTAATGGTGTTAGGGGTCAAACCCAAGTAGGCTATGTGTCAGGCAAGGGCCCTACCTGCACTGTACTAACTCTCCGGCCTCCTTGAGCTATTTTTATGAGTATAAAACAGAAGTTTCTTAAAACATCAAAAAAATGCAAATACCTACAAAATAAGTGAAATACTTAGGAGTAAGCAAATATAAAACATCTACAGATATCAATACCTTATGCCATTACTGTTCAGTTTTATTTTTACATTTTCTAGCATCAGGCTGATTTTAAACTATAAAATATGATGCTTGGGCCTGAAGAGATAGTACAGTGGCCAAGGTGCTTACTTTGCATGTGTCTGACTGGGGTTCAATCCACAGAATCCAAATGGTCCCCCAAGCACTGCCAGGAGTAATTCCTGAGTGCAGAGCCAGGAGTGGTGAACCCTGAGCAAAGCTAGATGTGACCCAAAACCCAAAAATCACTGTATCATTGTCATCCCGTTGTTCATTGATTTACTTGAGTGGGTACCAGTAACGTCTCATTTGTCCCAGCCCTGAGACTTTAGCAGCCTCTCCTTACGTCTTTCCCCAAAATATATCAATTAATTATATGATGCTTATGCTACATAAGAAAATCAGGAAATGCACAGCCTCACCTGTGTGAATGAGTCCACGGAGGAGACAGCAGCATTGCCAACAGGGGTCTGCTGAGCCAAACTATCCAGCAGTTCCACAGAAATCCCAATCTGAGCAACAGACGGAGTTCGAACAATATTCATGGCTCCAAAAGGGTGCTGGCTTCCTTCTCCTAAAAGAAAGATGTGCCACACAGTCCAGTTTAACGTGCTGCATCCATTCAATTTCTTTTTTAAGAGCCTCTAATTTAACATCTGCCAAGATGTTTGGTCAAGTGACAGCAGCTCCTTTCAGATAAACCTACAAGGGTGTAAAGGAGCCAGGAAGATGGCTTAAACCGCCAGATCCTCAGAATGCTAGATCCCCCACGTACTAGCATCCAGATGGGGAAAGGGAAAGAAGCGCAATCACTTAAGTTTCACTAACAAAAAAGAAAACTAAATTTTCATTTCCCAACAGCCATTGCTTTGGAAAATCTTGTGAAACTGAGGGGCCAGAGCAATAGGACAGTAGGTCTTGTCCTTGCTTTGCATGCGGCTAACCCTAATGGGTTCTGGAACCTGGAACTCACCAGAAGTGATCCCTGAGCACCAGTGGGTATAATCCAAAAACTAAATAAAATGATTGCAAGTGGGAATGAAAAGTGTAAAAGAAGAGTCTGAACAACAGTACAATGGGCGGGACAGTTGCCATGCATGGGCACCTGGCTTGACCCCCAGCATCCTGTATGGTCTGCTGAGTGCAGAGCCCATGCAGAGTAGGAACACTTGAACACCGGCAGGTGTGGCCCCCAAACAAAACGAAACAAACAACCCCTCAAAATGGAAACAGAGTAAAGATTATACAAAAGATTCTGAACATTAACTCTAAGGAAAGATGCTTTTTCAATAACTTAGAATAAGTTTTAACATTTTCTGTTAATTCCACTAAGGATTATCTTTAAGTGAGCCCTGGGATGACGTGGGGGCTTAAAAGTGCCTGCCTTGGCCTCCTTCCTCCAGGTACCCAGTTTTCCAGTGGCTTGGCAGTCACACCCACAAACTGCCCCCGGTGCCATATAATCTCATCAATGGCCAAGATCCAGAGACTATAAACTAAAGCTCCGTCTCCTGCTCCTGCACCGGGCTGTTTCACTAAGGCCCCTCGGAGGGGGGTTGAGTTTCACTGCCTGCCCCAAGGAGAGCCCCAGCAGCCCTGGAGCCCCAACTCCAGAACCCAACTGCCGCCATGCCCAAGGCTACTCTCCACATGCGTGGATGAGCCTCACCCAGGAGCCTCACCAAGAGAGAACCCAGGTATGCATGACCCGCGGCTGAGATCTCCAAGCCTGCTTGGATCAGGACTGGGCCTCCTCCACCCAGGTCCCCAGTCTTCCAGTAGCTTGGCAGCCACACCCACAAACTGCCCCTGGACACATGTAATCTCACCAAGGGCCAAGATCCAGAGACTATCAACTAAAGCTCCCTGAAGAGAGTGATGTAGTAGCTCCTGGAGTGACCTCTTATACTCTAGCCCACATTTGATTTTAACATACTTGCTTGTATTCTCATATACAGGCTAAAATGGCCCCAGAATGAAATGCAACAACCTTCACACACTTCCCTCTTATGGTAGGAAGATGCTCGCTGGTGGGGAGGGTGTTTGAATATTATCTGTAATGAACTATTGTGAACTACTTTATGCAAATAAAATGTATAAAAATCGCTACAAAAAAAGAAAAAGTGGGGCTGGAAAGACAGCACAGCGGGTAGGGCGTTTGCCTTGCATGTGGTCGACCTGGGTTCGATTCCCAGCATCCCATATGGTCCCTTGAGCACCGCCAGGAGTAACTCCTGAGGGTAGAGCCAGGAGTAACCCTTGTGCATCGCCGGGTGTGACCCCCCTCCCCAAAAAAAGAAAGAAAAAATGCCTGCCTTGCCTGAATGAGGCTGCAACTGTCATGCCCGTTGTCACCCTCTGTGTGCCCGGCAGCCCAGCACTTCCGTGGGACGGCTTGCACCCTAACAGAGTATCTACTGTGTGCCAGCACTGTGCCAGGAGAGCAGCCCAGAGAGGAGCGGTTCCCCAGTGAGCCCCATGTACTTGACAACCGGAAACAACAGCCCTGGAGCCCCGCAGCAGGGAGCCAGCACAGCGAGCAGTAGAGAGGATGGAGACCTCTCCATCCATCACAACGCCCCGGGCACGGGCCCTCCAGACAGCTCCACAGGCCGTTATGATACTGGGACGCGGGAGGCCAGTCCCCTACGCACGGCTAAGCCGCCACCCAGCACCAGGCTGGGCTGGCACCTGAGCACCACAGGTCTACCTGACAGTCTGAGATACAGAATGCTGCAGATGAGCCCATTCAACACTTGGCACTAGCATCAAATACACAAGAAGTCTGCAGTTTTCTCATTTTTTTCCTTTGGGGAAAAAAATAGATGATTGAAGCCAGAGAAAGAGCTCAGTGCGCTGAGTTTTAGTATGGAAAAGGGCAAGCACAGTTCAACGCCCCGGCACCGCCTAGTCCCAGCCAGGAACAGCACTGAACACCAACTGTTGTGGCATCCCCCACCAAGAGAATTAGTTTATATACAACAAAGCCTGTGCCTCATATCTGGAAAATATAAACCAAAAGAAAACCAGAAGATTTAGTCCGATGAAGAAAAAATAATCATACAACAGAGTTTTGGATTACCTGCATTATTTTACAACCATAAATTTTGTTTTTGTGTTTGGGCTGCACCTGGCTATGCTCTGGGTTTCAGTTCTGTCTCTGTGCTCAGGGATCACTCCAGGTGGTGCTTGGGGTATCATAGGAGAAAACAGGGACCAAACTGGGGTCAGCCACAGGCAAGGCTACACAGGGAAAAAGATCAAAGCTTGGTTAGTCACATGCGAGGCAACTGGTCTACCACTGTACTCTAGCCCATTACTATAAACATTTTTTTATTTTAATTTTAATTTTTGCATCACTGTGAAATACAGTTACAAAGCTGATCATGGTCGGGTTTCAGTCATAGTGTTCCAACACCCATCCCTCCACCAGTACATTTCCTACCACCAGCATCCCCAGTTTCCCTCCCGCCTGTCTCTAAAGAAGGCACTTTCCTTCTCTCTCTGCCTGTCTCTCTGTCTCCACTTTGGGGCATTATGGTTTGCAATATAGGTACCGAGATATTATTCTATCTGTTCCTTTACCTGTTTTCAGCATGCAGTTCTTATCCAGAGTGATTATTTCCAGCTATCTTTGTTATGGTGGTCCCTTCTCCATCCCATGATTATTTGAAGCAGGCTTCCAACCATGGACCAATCCTTCTGGCCCTTGTCTTTACTGCCTTTGAGTATTGGTCTCATATTATGGAGCATTTTTTTTAAACAACCCACAAATAAGTCCAATCATTCAGAAGGAGAGGGACACGCATTTCTCCTTCTGATGATCCAGCGATACCACTTCTGATAATATAGCCCAGGTACCCAAAAGACACACAGCAGAAATGCCATCTGCACTTCTATGTTCATCGCAGAACATTCACAATAGTCAGACTCTGGAAACAACCCAAGTGCCCAAGAACAGATGACTGGTTAAAGAAACTATGGTATATCTACACAACGTAGCTGTTAGGAAAAATGAAGTTATGAAATTTTCATTAACATAAATTTTTAAATAATGGAAAGGAACACATTCCTAATAACTAGAATATTCACTGAAAAAATATTTAATGCTTTAAAATACACACATACACTTGGGCTGGAGAGTCAGCACAGCAGGCTATAAAACACACACATACACACTCAGGCTCGAGAGTCAGCACAGCAGGTTATAAAAGATGCAAGAGGCCTAGTTCGATTTCGATATAGGTCCCCGAGCACTGTCAGGAGTGACCCCTGAGCATAAAGCTAGTACCCCAAGGACAGAGCCAGGGGTGATGAACAGTAAACCACGTTTCCTCTTCAGGGTGGGTCCAGGTTTCCGCAGGCTTTGCTTACTCCCAGCACCCGGCAGTGACTTGATGCCAGGAGAACTAAACCAGTGGGCTCCCCCTGAATACACCTGAACTGACCCTATAAACTGGCTCCTTGGTTGTAAGATTTTGATAGTATCTTTTAAAATTTTAGTTTTTTCACCTAAAAATTTTTCACCTAAAATTTTAGTTTATGAACCTCCAGAATCACTTATTTCTAATTTCTATCAAGATGGTCAAAGCACACACAAAGTATGTCTCATCTTTTAAAATGTCTTCAAATTTGTTTTAAGATGTAATCAACTCAAAGTATGGGCTATCAAAGAAGTGCTCTCTGTGCCCTTGAGAGGAATGCACATTTTGCTTGTGGATGGCACAATGCTCACTCTTTGTTAGGTGTCGTTAGCTCAGAGCAACCTCTCTTGGTCCAAGGGAATGGACACTGGTGAAAATGGCGTAAGTGGGAGGGTCATGGCACTAGGCCTGGGACCGTGGTGGGAAACACTGGTTCAGGTGCTGACGTTTGCTCTTTTCTTGATCTTACATCTACTTGTGCTGTTTCTTGTAGATTTTCTCAAAGCAGTTCTTTCCTCCTATCTTGGAAATCTTGATCTCTCTTTCAATTCTAATGGGCAATTTTTGGGACTTTTTTTGTTTTGCTTTTTTGGATCACGCCTGGCGACACTCAGGGGTTACTTCTGCTCTGCACTCAGGAATTACTTCTGGCGGTGCTCAGGGGACCATATGGGCTGCCAGGGATCAGCATCCAAGACAAACACCCTCCTTGATGTTTTATGACTCCGGCCCCTCTAATAAGGAACTTTAACAGAGTTCGTGACTGACTACCCTGTGCCATCAGTTTCTGAGGGGAAATCTGGTGTTTTGGCCTTGGCCACACTACTGGTGTTCAGGGAATACTCTTGGCTCTGAGACCAAGACTTACTAGTGGCAGTTCAGGGACACGTGGGGGCTGAACCCAGGCCACTGTGTGCAAGGCCTTAGCCCCTGGACTATCTCACTGGCCCAAAGAGACTGGCCCTTGAACATTCACCTCAATGAAGATGCTTGTGAGATGTTCTTCTCACTGCTTTCAGGATTCTTTCCCCCCTGAGGACTCTTCACGCTCTTTTCACTGAGGCAAAACCAACGTATATTCCCATCAACAGTGCTTGAAGACTGACTTTACTCCACTCTCCAACACTTGTTATTTCTTATTTTTTAGTGG